AACCTTCAGCTTCTGTTGGAGCTTTTGCCTTATTATTAATGTATGGAGGCTCTTATGGACGGCAACGACGACGAGTTTGCCTGGTTGGACGACGACAGCCTTCTCTTTCTTTCATTTTCGTTTAGTTCTGTGCTTGTAGACAAAAGCTGAGATATCTATCTTTCTATCTCCATATTTCTGAAGAAAAAAAGAAGGGAGAGATAGAAAGAAATTATAATGATGAGAGAAACATAGGCAAGCAGAGTGGAAAAGAAGTAGATATGGCAATGTTCGCCTCTTTTCACACGTCGTCCATGAAGAGATCTTCCCTCTGAATACAAAAGAAGTGTGAGAACTGAAAGATGTTTCAATAAAGTCTTTCCAGCTTTCATTTTCACGTCAAAGACTTTTTTTTTCTTTCTCTTTTTCTCAATTTTCCCTCATATCCAACTACGATCAAAGATTTGGTTTGCAATCTGACCCATGTTGAAGGTAAAACTAGTAATTAGAGAGAACACGAAGGCATTTATCACCTGTTAGGCTAATTCATTAATTTTTAAATAAAAAATTAAATATTTCATTATATAATTCAAGTGTATAATGCTGTTGAGATTCTTCAATCTCAAACTTTCAACAATGGCTGAAGGGAAACTGCTGAAGTCTGTTCATTCGTTAGCTGTGAAGCTTCAACATGATTTTAGTAAAATAACTTTCTTTCTCTCTCTATCTCATCTATCCATATGAAGATATATAGAGAGAGATGGTAAGAGAGGGAGAGAGAGAGAGAGAGAGAGTGAGAGAGAGAGAGAGGGAGAGAGAAAGAGAGAGAAAGGCAGATAGAAAAGAGACTTTTATGAAAAGAAGGAAGAGCTGGAACAGATGTGCAATGGCTTTACTATGTTATGTACATACATTTACGGTATGTACCTGCATAGTTAATGAACTTTCAGATGGATCACCTCTGCTTTTCTTGTGCGCTCATTCGCGTATCCATTTCTCTGTGTGTGTATATGTGTGTGTACGTCTGTTTGAAATTAAGAAGAAACACACAAAAAGAAAGAGGATGAAAACATCTGTATTCATCTGACAGAGTCATGACAGATCAGAGGCGAATGGTAAAAAGGAAGATTGTCTGTTATCAAGATGATGAATTAACATAATAATAATTCTATGAACATTATGAACAACAGACAATAAAAATATATATTTGTGCGGCTGAGATCAAAGTAGAATGGTTGAGGTAACAACGGTCATATCCAAAAATGACTCAATTATCTCATTCTGATGATGATGATATGTATGTGACGATTGTGCACATGAACTCTTTCTTCTCTACCAATATCTGACAGTTTTCAATTTTCTTTACTTTCCCTCCCTATCTGTCTCTCTGTCTCTCAGGGTTAATCAGAACCGATCTTGCTCATCCATTTGCTTAACGCTTACCACCATCCCCATTTCCCCCCTCTCACCTCTTTCATTCGTTTTCTACCTTTCTTTCTGTATTTTAATAAATTAATAAGAATAAAATATTTGTCAGAGAAAATGGATAAAAGCCAATTACTAGAAAAAGACAAATGAAAGTACAGACGGCTGTTCCGAAAGTTCGTGAAAACATACAAGATAGTGAGGACATTTCCATGCTTTACATCAGTTTATCCTTTCCAACAACATTCGAAGGACGTTTGAGCAGATGAAATAATTCTTTAAGGTTGCTCTCACTTGGTTACTTTACTTCCATCATTCTATTCTATGCTCTCTCTCTTTCTCTTTCCCTCTCACACTCTTTCTCTTCCCTCTTACTTGTCTTTTGCTCACAAGGCTGGAACAAACTTGCGTAGCAGAGCAAACGAATGACAAAATGCTGTGAAAGATTTTTAAAAATACAAGAAGGAAAATGAAAATAAATGAAATGATTACAGAGAGAAAGAATAAAACGACCGAGTATAACTGATGCTGAAACGACTGGCAAGAGCTCGGCTGTCTCATCTAATTTTCCGTAGAATATGTATGGTCGTCGAATGGCAGTTCGTCTGAATAATTCGCCTTTTTCAAGCTTTCAAGAGATGGCTGATGAGTTTTCAATGTCTTTGCAACATAAATTTTCTATGTGAATAAATAAAAATTTCTTATATATATCAGGTTTTCTTCAGAGAGAGAGACACACACACATATACACATACACACACACTAAGATTCCCTCATACAGATAGTTAGTGAGAGTATTGTGAACGTTAACAAGAGGTTCACTGAGAGAGAGAGAGAGAGATGGATAAATTTCATCTTCTTGAGAGGAAAAGCTTTATTTTTTAAGAATTTCTATTGAGATGAAGCCTTATTGACATGATGATTTACTTAATGACCTTCAAGTGTAACCAGCTGTAACTTCAGCCATTACAGTACTCTATATCCACCCGTTCCTTAGTCTTCATGATTTCTCGTTAAAACCCTCAAAAAGCATGCACTGTTCTTTGGATATTTCTCATATTCTCTTATTGTAACATACTATTTAAGGTATCTGTTACTGACAAACAGACAAACGATTACTAATCCTATAACCAAATAAGGACACGATTAACACACGGAGTTATGTAGTAACTCAAGTGGTCAAGCATATTTAAACCTCATTTCATCTCTCATACTCTCATTACATTCAATACTATTTCATTTATAATCTACTTTTAAACTTTTACATATTTAGAAGCAGATGCTCCATGACGTCACTTACAACATATTACCTTCACCTTAAGTTGTCACAAGTGAGATTTGTGACACAAACTTGGAATCAACATCATATGAAGTATCTAATGTAGTAACAACTAATGGTTCAAACGAACTTCATAGTCATATTATCATTTGAGTGAATTCTACTGTCTCTCTCCCTCTCTCCCTCTTATATCCCTATTTCAACCTCTCTCTTCTACTCTCTTCTACTGTCTCAATCTCTCTATCTCTCTCTAACACTCCTTCAAGCGAATATATCTTTTCATTTTTTTAGTTAATATTATATTCTTTCTTATGTCATCTTTCTTACAAACTTTTCTCATACCATAAACATGGACGTCTCATCCTAATCCCAAGTTCACAGCTCCTCCATGAAATTTTAATAAGAATTTTATTTATGACTGACAAGAACGAAGACAGAACTGAATTTTCAATGAAAAGAACACAACGTCTTTTTTTATCAGCTTCACCTTCTTTACATACATATTAGGCTCTACGATTTTTAGCTATACCTGATTTTTAAACTAAAGCATCCCATATAAGGCACCTAGGCTACAGCTTTTCAACAGCACTCATTGCCTCCACAACAGACAATAGCCAATTGTCATTTGCACCTTCTGTTCCAAATGAATCCTTCCTTCCTTCTTGTTCTTCTTTTTTTCTTTTTCATTCTCTTTCTCTCTCTCTCTCTCCTATTTCCACATTCTGTCTCGCATGCTGTCTCTCTGTTTTGCTTTCACTCTCAACTATTTTTTTCCGTCTCTTCTAACTCACATCGTTTTGTCGTCATGAAATCGTTGTCGTCGTCGTCGTCGTCTTCAACATCCTTCTCATCAGCTTCAGCTCATCCTCTGGCTAGGGGCATGCATTTCCAAATATGGTAACGGTAGTCGTTTTAAATCGACGACAAGAACAAAGAAGAAAGAGAAATTCAATGGTAATGCAAGAGACAAAAGAATCATTGTGTCAGTCAGTTAGATGCTCACAGAATGATACTTAGCTATACGTAATTAGTTAATGCCGCTAGGAAAAGATTGTCAATGGGCTTCCGCGTTCATACAAGGTGTCAACTACGTCAGTCGACTGGATTCAAAATGTTTCCAAACAAAGTTAAAACTTAAATAAAGAATAAAAAAAAGAAAGTAAAAAGAAGAAGATGAAAAAGAACTCAAACAATGACAAAGTAAGAATGAATTGACGAAACTCTTGAAACAGATAGTAAAAGCTGAACCAATGAAAACATTGATTATATAAAAATTAGAATAATGATGGTCAAGATGATGAAAGTCGAAGCAAATCAAATTCAAATCTTCATCTCTCTTAGAAGATATCGTCTGATCGTCATGAATCCACTTGACTTCTGTGAAAGCCTCCAGGATTTTCTCTGAAAAAAATGATTAAATATTCCCAAATTCTTTGGCAGTTTTTTCTGTTGAAACTTTTATTTGCTTTTCATAAAAAATTAATTTTTTCAACAATATTCAATGACGATTTGTGGCTGTTTAATTAAGGGGTCCGAAAGATGGAAGATCTATGACATTCATAAAGAGTTTCATGACATGTTGCTTGTCATAAGCTTTTGCTTCCAACCAAGCTTATATTCATCTCCCCCCCCCCCTAACCAACTACCACTATTTCTCTTATACTCTCTATAACTCCATATCTCATTCTGTTTCTTTCTTTCTATCTCTATCTAGTCATTTGAAGCTTCTGTTTGTGGCTTTTGCTTCTTTCATTCACATGACATCCAACTCATGTTCATCTTTATGCTATTAAGCATTTTTCTGCTCTTATCAATATAAGACAACATCGAATAGAATACTCTTTTCACTTCAAAATTAGGATTTTCAGCTTTTCTTTTTCTTATTTCTCCAACCAACCAACTCTTTATGTCTGGCCCACCCCTCTTTTGGGCTGTGATTGGTCTGAATGGGCGGAGCTTAGGCGCCGCCTACGGTAGCTGAGGCGCGGCCTCCATCACTAGCCCAGCCTAAAGCCAGCCAAGCCAGCTAGCAGAGGTCCTCCCCGTGTGTGTGCCTCCCTTCTCTTCCTCTCTGTCACCTCTTCTGTCTGTCTCTTCCTGTCTCTCTTTCTACTCATAGAATCTATCATTTTGTGCCGTCCACCCACGACCGACGACGGCAACGACAACGACGTCTTCGTCGGATCTTCAGAAGATCACACATCCCTTACATCCACCATCATCCTCTGATAGTGAACATTCAACTACTTTAATCAGCCTTCCATCTACTGAAGACTCTATCAGGCACCGTCTGCCAGAAGCCGAGCCAAACAGCTATATGCAGGCACCGCTTTATCCTTCGCTTAACAGCTTACAAGGCCAGTTGGGTGGATCATTAGCCAGTTCTGGACGATATTCTCCTAATTCGTATAAAAATCGTATGCAACCGGTATGTTAATAAGCTTTTATCAAATTGAATATGATTTTAAACTCTCAAATTGGCTCTGATTTGGCAACATCTCATAATGAGGATTATGATTTATTCATTTTTATCTCCACTTTTTTTAATATTTTATCATCCATATTCCTCTTTCTGCTGCATTTCTTCTCTCATTTGTCATTTGGTTATAAATTCTGCCTGAGGGCATAAATTAAATTCTTATTAAGAATTTATGAAACGCTCAGAAACTTCCTGAGCTTCTCACAGTTTCGTTATCAAATCTCTACTTACAAATATAGTAAGACAATTCTTTTTTCCTACTTTCCCTCCCTCTCTCTCTACAAACATATTTCCCTCTCTATTCTTGAAAACACGATGATTGTCCTATATGTGAGCTTTAGCTCGCTACTTTTTCATAATTTTCTTGCAATAGAGAGAGAACTCAAGAAATCTATGACTGTCTAACTTCTCTTAACAATCTCTTCTAAATCTATTGTGTTCATTCTCATTTCCAAGAACAAAACTTTGAATGTCAGGTGGTTTTGAAGTGAAAAAAAATTGATTTTATATAACTTAAATATGAGCCCTTGGTGAAGTTTGAATTATGATTGATCTCATTGAACTTGCCGAGAGCAATCGTATCAGATCAGACTATTTCTAATTTATAATATGAAATAGTAGATGTCATACGAATGAAGTTAAGAGAAGCGTTTCCCGAACTTCAGAATAGTTTAAAATAGCTTCTTCACGTGTTTTGACTGACTTATATATCAAACGAATGAAAAATTAATTTCAAAGCTTCTCATTGAGTGTTTGAAGCTTAGAATTTATTCATCATGTAGATGTTCATACGTTCATATAAGACAGAGAAGAAGGGAGAAAAGATGGGTGGTAAGGCTTTTACAGAAGTTAGATACAAACAGCTTCTCTTCACATCAGCTTCTAGTTCTTCTTCCGTTTATACAATATATTTCGTCGTTGTTGGCCATTCATTTTCAACACACAAAATTCAAATGACGTTTCTGGTTCAATGAATGAAAATTCTTCCTTTTTACCTGACAAAATTGACTTCAAACAACTCGGAAAAACGAAGTTGTTGTTCGTCGGGCTACCCGAAATACTTTTTTTCCCTTTTAACTTCCATTTTCCACTTGTTTGACTTTATTTCAAAACTACCATCTCACTGATTCATCTTTCCAGCACAGCCTCAACCAATCAGATTAGAAATATTTTGTTTGAAAAATATATAAAAATGGGTTTTTTTTTCTATTTCTCCCTCAGCTGAGAGAGATAGAGAGAGAGAGAGAGAGAGAGTTCTGTTATGAAGTATTAGAACTTCTGTCTCTCTCTACATAGGAATACATATTGTCATATATAGTGAGTATAGAAGAGGAAAGAAGAGTGTGAGAAGGAGTAGGATGAAAGGTGTGAAAGATATAAACTATATGAATCTTCAAGAATATGAAGAAGGAATGAAAGAGTAAATAGATGAAAGACAAATCCATTAAATTAAGATTTTCGTCGTCTGTTTTTCAGCTTCTCATCAATTTCATTTGCCAAAGTTCCTTTTTTGACCAAAAAAAAAATTTTCTTTTTGTTCATTTTCAATTTTTGGTTGAAATGATTGTGAAAAAGAGAAAAAAAAAGAAAAAAAATTTTCTCTATGGCTGCAACGCGAACAAGCTCGCCGTATTAGCAGCTTGAAATTAGAAAGCTTGAAGGCTATTGCTGACCTAACAGGTGCTTTTTTGTGTGTGTCGGAAACATTTCTTACATCTTTTCCTAATTAATAACAGCTTTTTCATCTCGTGTTCAATCTGCTTCGTGAGCATAAATCGTTTGTCAGCTATTGACAGCAGATGAATCATTTAAATGTCATATATGGAATCTGAACATGATATGGATGTAAATTCGATGATGAAAGACTCATCTGCTACTCAATACAAGGTGGAGAAGGACGTTCTCCAAGAGAGAGAAAAGAAACCCAGGAAGAAGGAGAATTAGAGAAAAGGAGATAGTGCGAGGGAGGAGAAAAAGAATGAAAACAACCGTCCTATGTGTTTCTAGACATTAAAATGAATTAATCAGTTTTACGTGAATATAGACACTACGTGGCATTGCTTATGTAAATCACGTATAACGTGATGGTACTTCTATCCTTGATTTGCATGAATGACGAAGAAGCAATGTCAAACTTAGGATTTGTTCGAAACATCTTGTTTCATACTTCTTCTTTTCATTTTTACTTCTGTCAAAAAGACTTCTCATTCTTCTTCTTCTTTTTTTTTTCTCTTTCAATTTTCTGCCGTCTTCCATCTATTTATCTCAGCCTTCCTTCTTATATGGCTTTTCTTTTACTACGGTATTTATTCTCAGGAGCTCAACAAGACACGATTCTCGCTTTTCTCAATAATCATCAGGCTCTTTTCTTTCTTTTCGTTCATTAGGAATCTTCCCATATCCTTTACTTTTCACTCTTGAAACATCAATATCATTCATACATCCTCCAAACTGTTTCAAATGAGAGTCTAGAGAGTAGTATAGGAAGAGAAAGTGAAAAAGAGAAATGAAAAAAAAGTAAAAACTTGATTTGTTCTTCAAGCTGATATCTGCTGGCTGATATTTAATGCTTGGAATGTTCAAAATATAAAATATGCAGAAAAAAAGGGTTAAGAAACATGAAAAAGCATTTTGTCTTTTCTTTGCTTTCGTGAGCATTTTGGAGAAAGCTTGTGCAAAAAGCTTGAATAGTCGAGGGCAAAGATGTTAAAAGGTAGCATGACACGAGAAACAGTCGATCAGTCAGAGATTGCCAATGGCAACATCGTCTTCTTCAAACTAAAAGTATGAAGCTTTGAACATCGTGAGCTAAACTATCGTCATGCTATTGGCTTTAAAGCAAGAGGGCAGTCGACTATTTGTTCTGGGCCATGAAAAATTAATTTCTCGTAAATGGCTAAATAGAAAACAGCCTAAAGCAACGAAATGGTGAGAAGAACATCTTCAACTAGCATTACAGTTCTTCTGTGTTGCTTTCTCCTTCATCTCTCTCTCTATCAGCTTTGTCTTACGTCCTCATTTATTCGTTCTATGATTTTTCAAATATCCTTCTTCTGACCAAATGAAGCAAATGCTGGAAACGTTGCAACTTTAATGGTAATATCTGAGCTTCTTCCTTCAGAGTCCACAAATTATTTATGAACATCTTCAAATTGCCGTAAAAGGGTGAAAAAGAAATTCTCGTCGTCTGAGGTCCTTGACCATCGTCTTCAAGCCATTCTTTCAGATAGATAGAGAGAGAGAAACATATTTAAAACATACAAAAATAGTACAGAATAGGTTGAATACTTGAATATTTCAGTTTAACAACTCTTTATTTGGATCATTTGATGATTCATTATTCCAAGCTCGAGCAGCCCAGGCTGCGGCGTTGGCTGATATCGACGTGAAAAACGTAAATTTGACAAATCAATTGATGAGACCGCAAGATATGTTCAGGTAATTAGCTTTTGCACACAAAAAAGGTCGAATACGACTTTGTATTCTTAAAAATAAAAAAAAACAAATAAATTCCTCTATTTTCCAGCAATTACCTAATGACATCGGGACAAGACACGACGAACATCTATCAGGGACTTCCGACATCATCGGAACCATTTGAAGCTTCTACTCTAATTCCCACCAGTAATGCTACTGAACAAGCTAATCATGAGGGAATGACTCCATTACAGCAGGTTTCATAGTCACAAGTTATTTCCCTTAACACATATACCGTATACAGGTGATGGCCATGCAAAGTTATGCTGCTCCATCGCATTTCACGCAATATCCGATGGCTCCATCATTCGCTGTATCAGCTCCATCTCAAGTCCGATATCCATTATCAGCTCCAACAACGGGTTCTCATTTAGGTATTGATATTTAAATCAAAAACTCAATCTCATTTATTACTTCAGAAATTGATACTGATCCTCGGGAACTTGAACGGTTCGCTGAGCATTTCAAGCAACGACGAATCAAATTAGGTGTTACTCAGGTGAAAGCTTCAAAGCTTATAAATAAATAATATTCCATATATTATTGTAGGCAGACGTAGGAAAGGCATTAGCACATCTGAAGATGCCTGGAGTTGGATCTTTATCTCAATCAACGATATGTCGTTTTGAATCATTAACACTATCTCATAACAACATGGTCGCCTTAAAGCCAATCCTACACTCATGGCTAGAAAAGGTTAGTACACTAACCATCTATGTATATACAATCATTCAAACTGTTTAAGGCTGAAGAAGCAATGAAACAGAAAGATACATGTGGTGATGTTTCTGGTATTTTGCCGAATACAGACAAGAAGCGAAAGCGTACAAGCATAGCCGCACCTGAAAAACGTCTACTCGAAGACTATTTCAGGTATATTATTTATGATTATATAATTAATAATTTAAAATAATTTAAATGAAATTACATATCAGACACATATCTTTTGAATGAAGAATGTATAGAATAAGAATAATTAATTTACAGACAGCAACCGCGACCATCAGGTGAACGAATAGCTCAAATAGCGGAAAAATTGGATTTAAAAAAGAATGTAGTCCGTGTATGGTTTTGTAATCAAAGACAAAAACAGAAAAGGTGAATAACTTTAACCATTTTACATTTTTATTCAAAAAAATACTCTTCAAAAAAAAAGGAAATTCTGAAACTGTTTTCGATTGCATTTTGTTCGAACATCTACAAAACCAAGTTTAAAACTTAAATTTTTTGTTATTTTTTAAACTTTTTAAAAGAAACACTTGTTAAAACTTAGATTTTAAGTAATCTTCCTCATCCTCTGCCTCATGTGTTTGGAGAAAGTAGTCCGAGATTTTGAGTCCGCTTTAAATGGCTAAAACACGAGTGAGTGAAAAAGCGAAAAAAAATCAAAAATAATCTTTCTGTCTCTTTTACACTCTCTCTCTCTATCTATTTCTCTCATACTCGGTTCATCTCTCTATATATATCTTTTTCTTTCTTTTCTCTCTCTCTCTCTCTCCCTCTCTCTCTCTCTCTCTATTTCTTTTTCTTGTTCTCCTTCTTTTTTTTTTCTTTTCGAGCTTTAGCCGGAAAACAAGCAAAAAGTAGGAAAACTTGTTTACAGAGCTTAGAATCTCCATATGCTTTTCCATCTTATAAACTACCTTATATGATATTCAGTGCCGAAAATAGACATCTGTTATCAAAACGTTCTCTCTGAGCATTTTCGACTTACAAAACTCTTTTCCTCAATCCTAAAGAAAAAAATCCACAAAAAAAATATTTTGACAAGAACTGCAAAGAAGAAAATCGATCGAAGTTTCAATATTTAAACATATTTAAGGCTTAAAAACTAATATTAATTCCAGTAAAAAGTTTATTTATTTGTATAAACCTTAATTGGTCCTGACTGGATGATCAAAAAAAAAAAAAAGAAATCTGAAGAAGATGTTCCATTAACTTGCCTTATTTGTAGTTCTTGTCGCTCCGGACCAGCATACAGTAACAATCTGAATATGAACAACACAAATAATACTAATAGTACAAATAATAGTAATAGTAATAATAATAATAATAGTAACAATAATAATAATAATGCCGTCAATTCCGTCTATGACCGTATTGATACGGGCACCAGCAGCATTTGGCGCGAGCGACAAGATCTGCAGAAGGTGAGCCAACTATCTGTCTCGTCCATATTTTGTGTTGTGACTATCCTTCTCTTCTCTAATCTATTTTCATTCTTTTTAATTTTTCATTTCTCCCTCTATGGATTCAAGATTTCTTCTAATTCAACCTGTAATTTAATACATTTGAATCCATGGAACGGAAAGCGTCTTCAAGACGATTATCTATGCTTCTTCTTCTCTATCAGCTTCCAAAAGAACTATTTCCATTTCCATTCAAATGACAACAAACCTTTTGTTGCTCATTATTCAATTCCTTTTTTTATATTGTTTCTTTTCAGAGACTTCCGTTCACAGTTCCGCTCTCGTAATGGAGCAAGTGCTCCTACAGCTCCGCGTTTGATGCAAACAGCCGCCGTCGCAGTTGCCGCAGCAAAATGCGCTCCTTTTCCCGGATTACCTGGGTACTTTGAGTAAAAACAAAATGAAGAGTTGAAGTGATGAAAAAAGTTTTTTTTTCCTCTTGTTGTTCGAAAAAAGGTCATCTCAATGCAATTGTTGTCCTTCTAGAATTCAACGATTAGTTCAGTTGTGTGAAGAAGAAGAAAACTTCTCATCAACTTTTCTCATCCTTTGATCAATTCTTTCCCCATTCTACACTCAACCTCTCTCTCTCCCTCCCTCCCTCCCTCTATCTATCTATCTCCCTCTCTCTATACATGTCTGTCTATCCCTTTTTGTTTCTTTCTGTGTCAATCTTCCCCTCTATGCCTATCTATATCTTTTTTGACTTCAATTGTTTTTTATTCAAATTATTCATTATAAAAACAAAGTTTAATTATAATTTTAAAAAGTATTCTGTCGCTCAGGTGTTTTCTCAATTTCCATAATTTATGAAATTCTTCGTTTGAATATCTTATTGGACATTCGTTTTTGGAGGGCTTCATGATCTCATGTGTATTATAATTTTATTTTTTGTTAATATAAAATATATAAAATTATAAGCAATATAAAGCTGTTTTCTTTTTCGTTTCATCTTTACCTGTTCGTTTCCGTATTTCAGTCCCAATCAACCCTCCCTCCCTCCCGGTATGCCTTACTCCAATGCCATTATTCACTTTCTTTCCTTCAATCTTGTCATCTTCGGACAGTCATTCGTATGATCCGACGAATACTATTTTTTCATTCCCATTTCCATCACTTTTTTTTCATATTTTCTTCTGTTTTTGCTCCATTTCAACTCTCTTTTTTTCTTCTCATCATCCTTACACAGGGTATTTGTTTGTGCAAAATGGTTTTTGTTGTTTCCTGAAGTCCGAATTCAAGATCTATTATTAATATATGACATTATTGTGACAATGAATTCTATATATCTACATAGTTGAACAGAAAAAAAAAGATTAAAAGCCTATGAAAAACATGATGTGAAGAGGACCCGCAAATGATGTCTGGGCATGTAAGTAGAATGATCATGCGCTTCATTCTATTCAAAATGAGTATGTATGTTTAGTTTTGATAAAAGTTAGTATTTGAAACTCCAGTGAAAAGATGTAAATAGCAGATATGAGTGAGAGTAAAAAGAAAGAGGGAAGTCGACAGAGGTAAGTCTAATTATGTTCGTGCAAATAGGTGAGACATGCGATACAGTAGACATGAAATCGATGGCCTCGACAATGACGACGACGTTGAAGCAGAAGATGAAAATGATGAGAAGTACGACGATGTCGTCGTTCATTCCAACGACATAGACTAGTCAGTTGAATATATGGAAGAACACGTTATTTGCAGAGAGCCAGACAGAGCGCACAAATCAGAAGGACTGTGGCTTGAGCGAGAAGCAAGAGGCGAAGGGCTACGATAGAGAGAAAGAATGAAACGGAGCACGAGCTTCATGAAATATTCAACAGCCGTAGCCATACGGAGGAAGGACGAGTAATGAGGATTTAGAGAAATAGGGGCCATATTTAGTAGAGGATGTTCATGAAGAAAAGTAAAAATGTGTGCAGAAAGATAGAGAGAGGGAAGGGATGACACAACGAGGGTAAAAGTCAGCCACACAAAAGAACAGAAGGACTAAATGCGAATATACGAGTGAAATCGTAAAGAGACAGGGATAGAGGGAGGAAGAGAATATTTTGAAAAGAGTTCAATACCTAACGGAAAGTACAATTTTCGTTTCAATGGCCAAAAGCGTCAAAGGTCACGGACTCATCTGCTGCTGTTGCAATTGGTGCTCTCACATGTGACATGTGGCCCAGACTGCCTCCAAGATATTTACTGCAAAAAAGGGACAAAAACTTAATTGGATGCTAATGAAACAGGATAAACCTACTCCAGAAACGCTGGAAGCAAAATTTGCTCTTCAGGTGAAGCAAGACGAAACGTGATCTGAACAAAACAATAAAAGACGAATTTCCTCAATCATTTTCATCAGTACACTCCATCTACCATTCACTTGTAAATAATACAGGTGTAAATACATAATGAGAAATGAATGCAAATATTCAAAAAACTTACTTTTTTATTGTCTTTCGTCCATAAACGGATATGTATTGCCTTCTTTTCAAATCTGATTTTCTTGTCTTTCAGCTGAGTTAAATCATAAACTCGTCCTATTAGTGGTAATCTGAGACACAAATAAATTCATTTTTAACCGTTTTCTTCGCTCACCCGGCTGTGATTCCTAGTAAAAAGTATTTATAAACTACCATTTGCCCATCTTCCGTAATAACGGCTAATCTTCTCTCATATCTATTCAATCCTATCCGCTTGTGGATGTAAGAACATGACGTATTAGGACGTGAACACAGCTTTTCCTTAATAAGTACATTTGTAATTCGTAAATTATAAATTCATTCTAATAACTCCTTTCTCTCACCAGACACAATTCTCTTCGGCCTCAATACTATTTCTCTATATTCCTTTTGTATTAACCGCCTGCTATTAATTTTCCCAAAGATTCACCTGCTCTGGCAATTCAATATAATCCGTTTTCAGCCACATCCCAGATGTTTTGAGGAAAGAATAAAGCTGAGGTACGTGAAAGCTTCACGTACTCAATTGTGTGGCGCCGGTGCCTATAAAAGGATGTGAAGTTGTTGAAAGGGCACATAATTAAAGCAAAACATACAAAAAAGCCGCTCTAAACGAAACGTGGAATAATGATTAAACGAAGATGGTCGCGAGGGGTTCAGACGGAAAAGGACTCGACTCTTATCATTACCTGAGAAGAAGATTAGATAGTTAAACAAACACGCATTGAAAAGTAAATAACCAACTATAAATCTTGTTTGAGTCAAAAAAACCAGAAAACTTATTATTTATAAGTAAAACCGTATAAATTTCCAGTAGAAAGTGTAGAATGCAATGTAAAATACAAAAATGTTCTAAAAAAAAGACTTACAAGACACTAATAGAAACTGTTAGTCATAATAAATACCGTTGATTACGGTTCTTTTAATTTTTTTTTCAAAAATATCTTGTTTTGTTTCATCTTTGATTTGAAGCGCTCCGTCTTTCCAAATATTCAATGAGGTCATGTACAGATGGTAAAGCGTGTTTGGTTGAGATCATTTCCTGGAGAATAAGAAACTTTTATAAATAGAAAGCAACAAGGTAGGAAGTTTTTACCTTTCCTTCTCCGATTTCAACCCAAGTGTCTACTCTTTGAGTCCCGAATGATACGCGTTTCTCCGGATATCCGAAATGTTCCAATTGGATATACTGAAAAGACATCTATCCTGCATATAGGTTTGAAGTACTTACCGTCGCTCGTCCTTCCATTTTTGGTTCGTCTATCCAACGTATTGATATATCCTTATTACGAACATTCTTTATGTAAACTGTGAAAGATGCTAAAATCTTAAAGTTCAAGCTCCGAGCATGGTGCTCATTATCAAAATACGAACGTAAATCAGAAGTTCGAAACCTCTTTTTCTGTAATGAACCATGTAAGTAACAGACAGATCAGTTATTTATAACATACTGATCGATTTACTTCAGCTTCTCCGAAAATATCCCCGTGCTCCACGTGGCAATTCGGAACTTTCTGAGAAATTGAAAAAACCATTCTGCAAAAAAAAAGATCATAAACCGATGAATGCACACGGCAACGGACTTGCACAGATCTCTGAGCTTCTCGAGAGGATTTTTAAAATATAATCGGAGCATTGAATTAATTAGAGGTGAAGCAGACTCTTCGGCCAAAGAGCCAATGGCGATCTAAAGTATTACGCTGGTCCGTATGTCTAGAAAAGTTGTATTACCTCCATAATTTTTTCGAGGGAATGCTCATTCATCTTCTTTGACATTACAGTGCATAGTCGTGGACGATTGTTAGTATATTTCGTAAGAATTCCGATGACGTCCAACGTTTTATCTCAAAACAAAGAGAATATCCGCTTTCATTGATAGCTGATTACTTAAAGAAAATCGATCAATACTTATTTTTACTTCATTCGTTAAGTTTCGTCCCCATTCTCCGTCTCTTTTAAGACATTCTAGAAAATGCAAAGTTTTTTTCAACTCTGGATCAAGTTCAGGAACAGGCTGCAAGGCAATATGTGATTAGGGAATTTACAAAATATTTACAAACTTCCTCCTCTCTCAGCTTAATGTCCTCCTGGATGAAAGATACGCATAGGTTATCACCACCTGAAGGAAGACCTCGAGGCAGTTCAACTCCTTCAGCATCCTTAATAATATAGAATTAGCATGAAAATAATTAACCGAATGAAAACTGAACTGAAAAATCGCTTTCTTGACAATCACTATCCGCTCCAGGCTCAACTCCTGGGAATAAAGTTTCATCTTTTAGATCAGTAGGATAGGGATCATTCTCCTATATCAATAATAAATGGTTGTTTCGCAATTCTCTTACCGTAACTATTTCCACATCAGTTTCCCCATCATGCAAGTCAAAATACGACGTTTCTGTACAGGATTGAGCAGCTAGGTCAATTTCATCTAATTCATCAGACATATCAGTAAACTGGGCGAAAACACCGGCTAGAGACACTCGGTTGAAATAAATTCGACTGCTGTACGCAATTTATCTTTTTTTATATTCAACTTCGACTGCGACTTCCTGTTTTGAAATTATTTTGGGATTTGTTACAGTCGACTTCGAAGTTGTAGATTGTAGATTTCGATTAGCAGAGCAAATTTTGGATAGAAACAGAACGGACATTGCGAGCAGCGATCATTTCGATTAACCGTCCGAAATGATCGCTGCTTGCATGATCAGCATTGTAGGAAATGAGAGACCCAAAGTGAGCGGGCAACAAGTTTTAAGTTATAACCGTAGATTTGCTCATCGTACAAATCTGTTTACAACATAGAAATGACTTCAAATTGAAAAAGTTTTTCTCAAAACCTTTAAAAACCAAGCCATTGAAAATGATGAAGCTATAGCAGTCCTATCTTCTTTGTCGAAAAACATTTTTTCAGTTTATTTTCAAGTGGACAGTGTATTTGGGGCCGAAATAGTAGGATCTTACTGTATTTTAGATCTTTGTACGTGTTGACACAAAAATGGAGAGTCGATTATACTCGGCCGCTGACTGGCTCGATTCGACCTGTCCGAAGTTCTGTTAACGTTTCTGCTGACACATTTGAATGTGACAACTCTGCAGTGCTTGTAACTCAGTTCTACAATTTCATTCAAATTAAGGTTAACGACGGTTTTTTTCATCGGCAGCAATGATCCAGTTGGTACAAAACAGGATACGTAAAATCAACACCATAATATTTCTTTACACGATCCTGCTTGATACAGTATTACATTACTGAACCGAAAAGGTTAGTATCGTGAACTATGGTTTGGATTCCGTTTGAACATCAACTCGGTTTTTTTCATTAGATATGGTACGAGTGTGTATGCATTATTTTCTTGGGATAATGATAAATTAGCGAAGATGAATGAAATACTCCAGATAAATTGTTAAATTTTAATTTGAATAGCATTTGATCTCAGTTCACCCATTAGCATCCATATCTGAAGGTTTGATAGAACATTGAAGTCCTGTGGATCGTCATGATCATGGAAAATTTAAAAAATCCTGTAAGAGACTACGCCGAGCTGATAACCATTGCGTATTGCTGAAACATATTGTTTTCACATCATATTTATGTTTTTTCGGTTAAGTGCCTAACTTAATCAACTTTGTACTCATTCATCTGTTAATAATCAATAATACTTTCAAACAATCAATTACATACCATATTATGACATTCTTCTTGTCTTCTGTCGTTGCGCCACGAGGTTGAGGTGACAGTTGGTCCTTTGATATTCTGGCAAGTGCGCCAGGCAAAATCATAATCATTGAGTTCATTATGCGCATGATCATAAATATATTTAATTATCCCAAATTACGAATATCTCAATGTTAGGGGATCAATTAGTAGAAGAGTATGAGAATAGAAGTTCCACGTATATTTCACGTCTAGTATCTTGACCATTCTATCGTATACGGAACAACGTAACGGTTGTGTTTAGACCATGGAGAGAAGGTATTGTGTTAAAGAGTCTTATAGTTTTTACTGGAATAGCAGTTACTCACTTTTCTTGCTAATTCCAGCTCAAATAAATCTGATCCAATGCTATTTCTGCCACCCGCATTCTTGAATCTAAATCTACACCCCACTTCTTGTGAACTGGTGCGGAAGAAAACTGCTGATAGTAAAAAGTAATTCAATATATTGCAACAACCTCATTACAAGATTTTCGAGAATTTCATATTCTATTACAATCACGGTGGAGCAGACTTTAATGGAAACAAATGTTGCAATAAATACACCTGGCTGCTATCAAAACGTGATTAACGAACAGTTAATGCATATTTCAAATTAATAATTTAATTGTGTCACTTTACAGAGAAAAGGAAGTTATAAATAGAACTAAAAGCATGTTATTTTCATTTTTCCCAAACAATTAGAGGAAGTTTCAGAAGATGAGGATAAAATTAAGAAATTGTATTGTGACGGAGCTTGCTCGCGGAAGCATTTCAGCAATTGTTTGGTTACATTTGTCGATTGTAAACATCAATTGTGTATAGATTGTATGGAATTAGTTAGAAATGTTGATGGTTTGTTGAAATGCTCACTAATTTCATATTTACTATTTCTAGGATCGTTGACGTGCAGTTCATATGCATGTGTACGTAAGACGATGTTCAGCCATCTATCCAATGACGAAGCTGCAAAATCATATAATCTTGTGGTATATTCCGCAAAATTCTTCAATTTTTATTAGGGCTCTAAGATTCGCACTAAATTCATTGAAACTCGGGCTGAGAAACGAAAAAGCAATATATTATCTGATACAGAATCATACATTTATTGCTATCGACAACCAAGGTATGCAATCCTAAGCAACTGTTGTAAAATATTTTCATAGTATGGTGAAATTGGTAGATGTGTACAGCGGTTCTTCTAAGGTTCTATCTCACTTCGTTTCTTAATAATCAATACTTTAACATATTTAGAGCCCTGTAAGCATGTCTAGTGCTGCAGAAAAGAGGTTTTTTTTCATATTTGTTTCTATATCTCTTTTTAGCCCCTTTACCGTTTTATTCAACACACAATTGGACGGGAATGATGTTATTCGTCTCTTCATGAGCTTCCGGGCTCAATCAGATAAAGCAGCAGTGAGTTCTTTGTTAAATAGTATGATAATCTCCTTAGACCCCGTTGCAAGTGTTAGAACATGAAAAAGCTAGATTGAATATTCTTCTTTTGACAAAAGAATCTAACTGCTTTAAAAGGTGGGCGATAATTTCAATGACTCAAATTAAATGTTTTGCAAGAATGATGCTATCTCATGACACGACAGGAAGCAACTCCTTGATTAAAGCACTGACCGATTGTCTTGGCAGATGGGCTAAGTAATATTCTACATTTTTCTAAAATCCTCCAATCTTTGTTCAGTCTTATTGAACAAGAGAACAGTTCAGTATACTTCTGTGATGGTATGAGTAGTGCTTCTGTTCGTTTGATCAAAACAGATGAACTACGAGAGGTTTTGTATTATAAAATAACTTCTTATGTTTGCCGATATTTTCCAGGCTCTTTTATGCAAGTACAAAGGCATATCAGGGAATCTGCACTATGTGATCGATTCAGCTGCATGTACTCGCTTCTGATATCCTCAAATGAAGAGAATAAATAAAAATTATGTGGAGTTTTTATTCAAGGAATTTTCGTCTACTTCTGTTATGGAAATCAACGATTTTTGATTTGACTCCAAAATATCAGCTATGCAACGGCGAATAACTTCATTAGTGAGTGGATCTGTAGGACAATTATCTATGAGACTGAATGTCATCCTCACCTGAGTCGAATATAAGTTTCTGTTGAAATTGATTTTCGCTTCTCCACGCGTATTTACCATCATTTGATGAACGTGCAGCTAATTCGGACAAAACTTCACAGGTTTTCTGATGAACACTCTGTTTCAGAAGTTTATAGATGTTATTTGGAGGATTTCCCTGAATCAGATCGGTTTTTGAATGCACCAGTGTAACGAGAAACTTACAGCTATACGTTCACGTAAGACAGCAGAAATAGGCATTAAGAATTTCTCCAAGTCTGGCTCAGTTTCTTTGCCAATGATTGTACTGTCTGTATCATTATCCTTCCATGATGATCGTTTTGTTTGAGTGATTTCATTTGAGGTCGCTATCTGCTGACGTACAATCTGAGGACCTTTCTCTCCACTTTTGACCATTTGGAGAATGATTTTTTTGTCGGAGATGTACAATTTGCATCTGGTTAATGGTATAGCCTCTTCGGGTAATTTAATCTTAATTTTTGTTGAATTAATAACAACAGTAGAGATGTTACCGTCATTTTTGATAGAGCATCAGCTTTCAACACGGACGATTTGAAAGCAAAAACAGCCTGCTTCTTATGACTTTTCGGCATTGCACACGTTTTCCTTGCTGTCAGATTGTTTTCTGAAGTACACGTTCAACGCGTAACACCATCTAGATGCTGTACTTACGCAATCCTTTCCCGCATAGCTGTACAGTACCTCTCCAGAATGTCTCCGTTTCATCCGTCGGAAACATATCAATTGTTTTCAACACTTTTGAATTAGTAGAATCGTTAATTATTTCTAATAAGTTGATCATGTTATCTATGAACGAGGAATGCTGACCTTAATGAATCAACAAGTGAAAAGAGCATTGCTTACGTGGATGCACGTGAGAAAAACGTGACCTTTGACGTAAAATCAGTACGCAATCTGATTATTACGTAGAATAATGTCATGTTTATATATTTATGCCGTTTATCATTTTTCGATTAAAAGTAGCTAAGCATGAAGCTCAAGAAGATGATATGGTCATTTTGGTCGATTTGAACGTTACCACCCCCACAGCGCTTGTCAAATGAGGTGTTCCAGAAGTTCTTTCCATAATTGATAGTAACAAGAACACATTTATAGCAAAAAAACTTTATTGAATAATCTTAAAAATATAATTTTTTATTTTAATCAAACTTCTAATAAATCTTGAAAAACATGAAATTGGAGCCTCGATTCTCTGGAGAGGGCGCTAACAAAACGCCCCTTAGCGTCATGAGAGTGAATCTTGACTTTCAGAGCACGGTCATTAATAAACTCTTAAACACAATACACTTGATGAATATAAAAAAATGAAAATTACTTTCTACACTGAGCGAGGCAGAACCCCATATCATTTCGCTGCAAAGTCTTAAATCACCTAATTTCATAAACATCTTAGCAAGCAGTAGTAGACTTTCTGGAGTGTCAGGCTTTGCACGGCTTGATGATTTCTAAAATAATATACTATAAAGGTACTAAATTACTGAATCAATTGTTAAACAAAAACACCACTTACTTCACAAAAAGCATTCAAACATTTATCGGAAAGCGGCGTTCCATTCGGAATTCTTATTTTGTAGAACATTCTGGCATGTATATTAATATAATATATTAATAAATATATAAACCAACCTCGAAGGGCTTTTGTCTACCTTCATATCTCACCAAAATGTTTTTGGGCGCTACTGCATAAGCTGCCACCCCTACTTTAGAATTCGAAAAGACGCGTGCAGATATGCTAATTTTTTGAAATCGCGGAATTCTAATAACACGTTTTCACGTTTCTTTCAATTTCGACGCCTGAGAAGCCTGCCGATGTTACACTGCATAGAACAGTTACATATTTTCGTTTTCTCAATGATCAGCATGAGAACATGGTTCATGACGACATATCGTTTTCATCAATTATTTTGCCCTAAAATATGTCACCCCTATCTGTTAAAAAGTTTGCAGGAAAAAGAATCACATGGCATGGATGATATGTAATCACAAGGACTGTTGTACCTCACATTTCCCCCCCCCCAACAAGTAAAATTGCTGTAGAGCAAGAACAAACTCACCAACCTGATAAATAAAATTTTAATCAAAATCAGGGAAATCTGATAAAGATGCTAGGGTGTGGTTTTAAACCTTGTATTGAATACTTAAATGAGATAATTAGTCCCAGAAAGCATTTTGTCATCGAAAATAAGCAAGGAAGAACTCTATTACAACTAAAGAAAGCAAATTAACAACTGTTGTCTGAAAAATCAGGATTGATCATGAGCCGCAACATTAGAAAGAACATAGAGGTCAGTTGTAAAGGTGGCAGAGCTTTAAGGATAGTTACGATAGTTCAAAGAGTGTGAGAAAAGTTTCACATTCTCACCTATCTTATCATTTTTAGTCATCTTACCCTTCTGTGATAGACCCTTAAAATATAAAATTTTGATACATTGGTATGATCATTAAAAACCTGATTGGAGTTTAACACACGTGCCAGAATGTCCTCTCGCATCTCAGCTTTAAAGATTCCTTTTTTAATGAAAATTGTTGATAAATTGAACTGGAAAAACGTTAAAGGCTCTATTTTAAAACAATTATCGCATGATAAGGAGCGGTGTACCCGATAATTTTCACGAAGCGTTCATTGCTCATTTCAGTTGATTGTCTGCTTGGCGAGAAAAAACACATTTGGAATATGACATATTTATAAATCTTTCTATAGACATATATATTTATATAATTACGATTTTTGATACATTTATGAACTTTAATACACACAAACGACATCCTAATGATGTAAATATGTACAGGATTCTCCTGCTTCGCATGGATTTATAAGCCTAAGAAAATTTAGGCAAAAGAGTTGTAAAACTATAAGCCCAGGAAAATTAGGGCAAGTAAGCACGGCGAGAATAGCATTTAAATAAGAAAAAAACCTGTACACACATAAAGAAGAACAAAGTCTAAAACTATTATCACAAAGTGTTAAAAGGTTACAAATACACGAGACACTTCATGATTCGCTGATTATCAAGATACATAAAATATTTCTTTGTAAAAATAATTAAAAAGAACCCGAACTTTTAACTTTTGTCTTTTGCTCTTCTCACCAAACTTATTCATCACCATTTTTATGAGGCATGCTTCTATATCATCTCATATTTGCTTATAAAAAAGGTTAATGAATGAGCACGTCATGAGAAGAGGTATGAGAGCGAGTCGAAACTCAAATCAAATTGTAGGTCGCTCATTATGAGCTTTTTAGGCTGGTAAACCAGCATTGAAACTATAACATACCATGGAAAACCGTCTTTTGTTCGCTCTGAAATTTGTAGTAAGCATGAAAACGAAACATTAAAGCATATTGTTGATCAATGAAACAGGCATCCGGAGGGATTTAAAGGAAAAAGCATTGTTGGAATATTTCTCTCAGCAAACTCATCAATGAGGAGAGAGATATTGAGTAGTCTAGGAAAGTAATGTTAAGCATCCCAACGCCTATTACTTTCCTCTACAATGCAAAAAAAAACAAAAGAACTGAGAACTTTGAGATCTTGAAACGTCATTCAAAAGCTTTCTTTGTTGAACCAACCTATTATTTTTCCATCTATTATACAATGTTTTGGGGTTTCAAATGAAATTACGTAGGACGGTTTCCCTGTCCTGGTACATGATGTGACCAATCTGCTACCTGCAAAAACATAACATAGCTATTAACAGGAAGTATAATAAACCTGAGGGCCCATTGTTAAGTTCCTTCTTGACGAAGTACTGTAGATAGGCAGAACTTCGCTAGCTTCAACGGGTACAGCCTAGAGAGAAAACTAAAGGTGGAAAACTAAACTAGGATTGAACCTTCAAGTAAACACAAGCGTCAGTACCATATCCTTCCATTGATACTAAAAACAAATCTCCGAGGAAGTAACGAGCATAAAGTCGTGATAAAGGCAACCCGTAGCCATAACCAGCCTCAAATTAAGAAGATACAATTTTCTTGTATAATTATCATACCAGTGGAGCTTGTGTTCCATCTCTAGGTGGTGGAGGAGCTGTACTGTACATATAGTTGTACAAACGTTCCAGTATTGTTCTTGATACACCTCCTCCGCGATCACAAACCTCAAAAACGAGAAAAGATAATAACTGATGGAACAACTGAAGAACGAACCTTAATTGAGAGATCTTCATTTCCTCGAACTACATAGACTTGGATATCAGGTAGATCATCGTCAACTCCATGGTGTTCGACTGTAGCTCTCATAGAGTTCTAGAGCAACAAATTTGTTTTTGAACATTAAAAAGGTGTAAACCTTGAACAGTTCGAACATGATGTGATATAGGTGACTTGGAACAGCCACAATCTTGATTGGTTTCCCCTTAAACAATAAAAAATTGTTTGGTTTCGAGAATTGCAACGAGTTAAAACCTTGTCAACACTATTTATCATTTGCAACTTCATAGCCGGACTCGTGAGATAGTATCGATCGCAGAGAAAACTTAAATGAGAAAATTGAATCAAGTGCGACAATATGAAAATCAGAAATACCGAGCGTTTTCAAAAGCATCATAAACAACGCTTTCTACATCACAAGCAGGATCAATGCACCCAACATGCCTTGGGCTTTCCGGAAGAACAGAACCAAACACTACAAGATGTTGGTTTTGCAACATCCTTATTGAAATTCTGTTGATATAAAAACGATCCAAGAAGTATTGGATGCCTGAGAAAGACAAAGAATAAATAAAAGAGCGTGAGGACGTAAAGTACAAACCTTTCTCACTAGCTATATCAACACCATCACTTTCTCGGAGTTCTATCAAGCCCTCAGCCATTGTTTCGACAACGTGTGCATGACGTTTTAGTATTAATTGTAACTGGTCGTTAAATCTTGAAAACGAGGAATCAGGTAATAATTAGAAAAAAGTGTTATGAAGTTTTAAAAAATCTTACCTAGCCACATTATCAGTGGAAGGTCCTGAGTTTTCAAATTTCAATAAATCTTCGAAGCTATCACAATACCTAAAGGGATTTTATAACTATGTACTCTGTCATAATTTTACCATTCGGAAACCATTTTAGAGCTTGGCATTTGTAGTAACTTAGGAGGAAGGAGAGAGAACTCCTGAAGCAACTCGATATAGAGGATTGTATTGAGTATGAGCAAACCTGCATAATATTGGCTAAACGAACAAGAAGCTCATTTTTCAAGAATGTATAGGAAGTTGAAGCTGTTCCGATTCTACCGAAATCCAAATATTGTTGAATTGTTAAAGAGGATGGTTGAAATTGACTGGAAAGATGTAAACCACATGAACTTGAGTATATAAAAATCGAAAAGCTAACCTATAGTAATCAAGCTTTTTCGTGACTGCACCAACAAATGGTCCAAGAACCCGTCTAGTTAAGTTCATCTATAAATAGATATCTAAATTACATAACATTGAACGACATTTTCCAATATGAACGACATGTGAATGAACGTTTTTATCATTTTTCAACAGCCATTCTTCATGAGTAGTTCTTTGAGATAAGCACAAGGAGTAACAAAGACAAAATAAAAATTGGAAAACAGCAGTCGGGTCTCTCAGAGCGATAAGTTTTTCTCTTATATATATACAACGAAAATGAGATAGTTTTAAACACGAAGAATGATACATATGAGAACTCTCCTCTAGCTTTATCAGCTAAGGACACGTCGAGAAATCTGCCAAGAAAGAACGACATTGAATTACCGTCGAAAACAGGTTACGTAAGGAACAGGATGATATTTTTCAGTGAAAGGAAACAACGTGGCGGTGAAGGAAATAGACTGGGGGTAAAATTGAATTGAACGTTGTCATTAGAAGGAAGACTACGAAACCTATGTAGTATAGTATGTCGGAATACACTGGAGGCCTCCGTTATGTTTGCAAATGACCAGCTCAAATTCAAGAAATCAATTTTAAGACTTGGGCCTGGGGCAGAGAGGATAAGCCACGGCACTTCCCATCCCACGCGGTCATGTGTGCCCGATAATGTTAGTAACAGATCGAGTGTTGAACTGTCGCTTGAGTTAGTAAAAACGACAAAAAAACAAGAAAAATAAGTTGGAAAACACACGAAAACAAAAGACTTTGAGGTTGGGAAGACTAAAAATAATCCAACGCTTCATCTCGAAGTTCGTTTTCTGCTGTGTATTGAAAAGAAAGTGTTCGTGCGTTTGTGCTGTTTCGAGAGCATTCACGTACACATCCTTTGAACTCAGAGTGCGAACGAGAAGCGGAAGGAAAGGGGAATATTAGGGAAATGATGGAACAGCTTTCACCTGATGGGAGTGAATTTGAAATGGGGACATAACCTATGAAAATGGCAAAGCTGAGGATGGGAGGAGAGCAGAACGGCCCGGAGAAACCAATATGCGGGGCGGAGCAATCGTAAACGCTGCGCAAGTTCAGTGCGCCTGGACGTATACTGAGTGCGTTTTCATAGAGAATGAAGGTTATTTAGTAAACGATTATTTCATTTTTCAAAAAGATAATGAAAACGAGTTTACTCACTTGTAACAGCGAGTTCCTTCTTCTTTTAGTTAAAATCGACCGAGTCTGATGAAGAAAAGTTGTTTATGATTGTTTTCTGGCTTGTCACGTTCACGTCACCACGCAGACGTTATTGATTTTTCTTTTTAACAATTAAAACGAATTTGAGAAAAATATTGTGTTTTTAAGATTGTCAAGTATCTTTTTGTCTTTTCGATATGTTGTCTTTGTTTGTGTCTAAGTATAATATATAGGTTTGTGCTGTCTATGAGCTCCAATCAAGAAGTTTATCCAGCAATTCGACCGATATGTTTCTGGACTGCTAGTGATGTAGATGATTGGTTAAGAAAACGAAAACCAAAATTAGCTTTGAAGTATTCTTTATTCTTTCTAAGACATAACATATCAGGTGATTTTCAAATAAGTTTTCATTGTTTTACAATTTCTTTCAAGGTCGTGTACTCGTAGATATTACGGATGAAGATCTCGAGGAAATAGGTATTGCTTCTTATGATGAAAGGTAATGATGTGAATAGTTCTTCTTTCGATCTTTGTTTTATAGACAAGAAATATTACTGGAAGTAAAAAATGAAAAGCTATATAGTGATTTAGATGAATTGACAAAGCTACGAGGATAGAAATGATCTCAATAATCCGTTTGTAAACACATTGGTCAGTTTGGCTTTATGTTTCACTTTTGTTTATCATATTTTAATATATTTGATCTTTCATGTATTCACCATTTCCAGAATGAAATGTTTCTCGGGAAATTTGTGTTGAAAGTTGTGTAACATTCAGGTTTAAAGAAAGTTGTAGATTAAAACGTGGGAATGCTACCATTCTGTTCAGAATTGACTGAAGAAATTAATTAAGCAGCAGCAAACTCACGTACTCATGATATATTCTAATTTTTTCAGCACGGCTCAAGTAACACTTTTGTCGTGCCGAATAGAATAGGCGAAGAATGAGAAGAAAGAAGACCATGAAGCGAAAAAATTCTTTTAGGGGATTCGGTGAATGTCTCTTGAGATCCTATAACTCGCGGAAGAGTGCAGGGATCTTCCTGCCTTAAAAGTTTTGTTTCCGTTTGAAAGGCGAAGAAAAGAATACTGCAAAGTATTGTCTGTAGTTTGTCCATGCAAATAGAGTATAAATAGAAGAAACGAAGGGATGCGTTCCGAGTAATAAAACGAAGAGGTTGTTGAAAACTATGATTTTGGAATTCTCTTTCAGGCTTCTATATAATCAGTTACCATATATAAAGCTGCACTGCCAACCGGTAATGCCACTGATGGTGAAATAAGTTGATGGCCCTGCCATCATTACAGTTGATATCACAAGCTTAAAATAAGCATGCTTTCTCTGAAACCATTAAACTACCAGTTACCTGAGCAACAATTTTGAAAGTAAATTGACGCTGTCTTTTGATGTTCGAAATGCTCATGTGTACATTCTGTTTTAAACTTCTAGCACATCCACATAATATCCCAAAAACTAAGAAGAAGCTGATATCTGTGAAAAGCACAAATTAAATAGAAAAAACATTCAAAAATGATATATATTCACTAGTATAGACAGCTGTGTAAAGAATAAAAAGATTGAAATCATTAGAATCATGGCTCAGATAAATATATTCGTTCTCTTCCCATATTCTCCTTGCCCAAGGCAATTTCTGGAAAAAAAAGTTTTCAGAATTGGGAAAATGAATTGAGGAAGACTTCAAGAAATAATGGAAGTTCCAGTGTTTGATCATGATAAGCCATCCCATATGAAATATAAGAGAATGAGGAGAAAGTAGTGATGAATGATAAATTAATTAAATGAATCTTATATTCTGCTTGAATTTTCCATTTTGAATCATTCGGTAATAAGCATTGGTAGCGAAAAAATAATCCGATGACACTTGAACATGAAGCAGCATATATAGTAATTAGGATAGTTATCTAAACATGCGAGATAGATGAGAAACATTGAAATGTTTAAGTTCATCTGAACCATTTGATCAAATGGAGAAAGAAATGAATTCAAAAATCCTGTTGTTATATAGAATGTATAAGGAAAGAAGAAGATAGGCTGTGATAATAAGCTAATTATAAGATCAGTTGCCAAATTAGCAATCTACAAATTGTAAGTAAAGCATTATATTAACTATATGTATTTAACATACATGATGTATAACTATATAATAACGTATTTTTCCAACTCTTTGATTTGTTTTAAATAATAAAATATATAAAATTAATACATTAAAGCAGCATGATAATGGACTAAAACCAATATGAAAATATTGTAAAATTCTGATTTCATCCGGATATCCGAGTGAGTTCAGCTGTTCACTTACATTCATTTATGAAATAGAAGATAACTGAAAGATCAAAAGTATAATAATAATAATATTTTAAGAGAATGGTTTATGAAGATATGTAGGAGCAAATGCGTTTTTGTATGAATATGATATGAGCATGAGGAGTATGTGTGTGTGTGTGTGTTGCAACCCATCTGACATTCAATCATTTAAGACTGAATCTAGTATTTAACGTGTTTTTACGTTATGCATAATTAGCATAGTATATTGTGGAATGATAAAAGATAATAATGTATAGTGTATGAATGATTGAAATCTCATGAGAATTATGTCCTTTAGATTAATTGGAATTCATGAAGATGTTTGAAGACTGTACAAATACTTTTATTATTATTCAAAAATGCAAAACCGTTTGAAAACGTGACGTAGAAGGCGGAGCTGATGAAGAAAACAAGAATGAAATAAAAAAAAGTTTTTTTTTTAAACTTCTTCTGTACAAATGGTTAAACCCGATTTCAGTTAGTAATTGTAATACAGAGAGATATATGTTCATATATGTACACGATAGAAATCTCTTTGTTTCTTTGTATCATCTGAGATTTTGAATGGCAAATGCTGAGGCTATGTAGACGTCGTGGATAGAGATGAATGGTGACTTGAATGATATGTTATGTTCATCAGAATGCTATACCAGCTTCTCCAGAGTAGGTCTTTGAAGAGGGAATCGTTCAAGCTTTTCTTGTAATGCTACTTGGATTTCAATAACATTGACACGGAGATCTCTTTCAATATCCCGTCGATACTGTTCTTCTCGTCTGAAAAGCAATATAGAAGTTTTTGGGAGAAATGTGAATTAAGAACCGTTGAAGAATGTCATCCATTGTTGGAGAAAATGAAGATGATGTGCTCGGATTGCTAGATGAGCTTAATGATGAAGTACAACGAATTGATATTGAGGACGATGATCGTTTTTGTTTCTCATCTGAACATACAGTATTCATAGCTGATTTATCATTTTTTTTTATGCCTTACTAGTTAATACAGCCTCTCGACACCAATCTAATGCTTCTTCATCGCAATAGAAACCGTACTCTAAGCAGATGTTCGAAAAACGAAGCAAAGCCAGAAGATGTTCAATTGAATGTAGTCGCAATGAGGACAGGATTATTCGGTGTTCATTCTGAATATTCACGTTTCGTTACATTCTTTTTTAGAATAAAATTACTTTCAAATTATTGAAATGACGATTCAGTTCGCCCATGTAAGGCGCGAAACGGATTTCCGAATAAATCCAACAGACTAAGGCCTGATATTCGGAGACAAAAAATGGAAAATCTTCAGATTCTTAAAAAGAAAAACGTTGTGAATAGGTTGAATGATGCGGAAGGGATTACTTGGCTCTGACTGGTATGACAGTTCTCCACGTAATTCAGATAGAACTTCTAATGATTCTTTAAGACATCTTTGTGAATCGTCAGATGTCTTCTGCATACGAAAATCTGCTTGCATTTCTCGACGAAGCTTATAAACATCTTCCGAAGTAATTCTATAAATGTAATTATAATATATTAAAGAGAAAGAAAGGCAAACTAACAATTGTCCACTCATTTTGATGTTTTTTAATAACGTTGTATTGTAATATTTGCGACTATTAGGTGATGTGTTCATTGAGGAAGTTGAACTTGATGGGCCCGAACCTAATGAGGAATGGGGCGAAGACATTTCCTTATCTATAATTATATAATATATAATAATATATATGTATAAATATTAAAACTATACTATATGTAATGGAGTTTAGCGAATTTTGACAGAAAAATGGATTTTCAAAAAGATTATTCGCTTTGACAAATGAAGTTGAAGGACCGGTTAGTATTGAAGACGTCATTGCTTTTTTTGGCAAAAATACTAGGTGACAATAAACATTGGAGAGTTCGAATAAGCTGAAGCTAATCGAATAAGGGGGTCAGGGTTGAATATGAATTGCCTGTGCGTTTGATAACATTGACTTTTTGGCTAATATTTGCCTATAAGATAATTCTGTTTGGCTTCAATGAAGACAAAAAAGCTTCTGAGGAGGGTGGAAGAGGCAGAGAGAAGGTAGAGAGGTAGTAGAACAGACAGATTGAGAATGTAGTGTGAAGATTTAATTTGTAGAAAAAACAATGAAAAAAACATTTTTTTTTGATAGATAAAATTGAAGCGATTACAGGTTAAGCATAGTAAGCGGGTAAGATTCTAAAGCTTTGGCAGGCAATAGAAGACCGAACGTTCTAAAGAATTTGGCTCATTCGATAAGGCCAATGAGTCATTTGTGTCGATTAAAGCTTTTTATCAGAAAAATTTAAATGAGGAATGACCATAAAAAGATATGGAATGAGCTTAAAAAAAGGACAACAAAGAAAATGAAGAAGGAGACAGGCAGACAGACAGACAGAGATAGACAAGATGATCAAGAATGGAACAATGAGAGTATGATGATGAGAGAGCAGAAATCAATAATTTTGATATTTGAAAACAAACCATGTAAATGACCGATTACATCCAAATCCAGAACCGATTGTCGTGGCATATGCCTTATTCGGCCATGCGAAAATACCATCATAGTGTCTGAAATAGTAATATGATGAGATAGAATAGAAAAAGAGAGAGATAGATAGATAGAGAGAGAGAAAGAGGTAATAATAGACAAAGAGTAAGAGAGATAGAAACGTTGAGAGAGAATGAACGATATGATACAAGTTATCTGTAAAGCTCTATGACACAGGTAGATAACAATTAATTTGTAAGTATAATAATTAAACTGTGAATATATAATTGAATGAGAGTAACAGCTGTATGTGTGTTGATAAGTTGTCCCAAAAAGGAAAAGTATGTTGAGAACTTGTTCAGTCACAAGTACTATATGCATAGTTTAGAAAGTCACCTCAACAGTTTCCTCTAACAAGAGGAAAAAAAAAGAGGAAAAAGTTGAAGAAATTGAGAAGAAAACTGGAAAAGTATTGAAGTGAAGATGAAAGTTTGAAAAATATTGACTGAAAAATGAAAATAATCTGATGAATTGTCAACAAATTCAAGAAAAACTTCAAATAACGTTAAGAAAGTAAAGTCATTTCTAGTAGAATATAGATGATAAGATACACTTCATACTGTTGCCAATGTTACAAAGAGAAAATGAAAAGTTAACAAAGAGAGTAAGAGAGAGAGAGATATTGAGTAAGGTTTGGATATACTGTGAAAGCTGTTATGCGTGTGTCTGCTTCATCTGATGTTATAGTCTGTTGATATGATTTCAACTGAGATAATTGTGCTGCAATGAAAGGCTGTAATGTCTGACTTGCAATTGACGTTCCAAAAATTAATCTCAGAAAATGACTTGACAAAGAGAGAGTAAGAGAAGGGACGAAGAACATTGGCAATCACCCTACACTTAAGAAGGAAAAGCATAGAACACACACATACACACACACACACACATGTACACGCATACGTAGTCATCTACTAGATGATCATCTTCACGGGAATACGGATGAGATGATTAAGAGAGAGAGAAATAGACAGAGAGAGAGAGAGAGAGATAGATAGAGAGAGAGAGAAAATCCACAAAAAAATGGTTTAAAGGAAAAGAGAAAGTTTAAGAGAGAAAAATGGAAATTACATAACATACGATGTATGTATGGGAAAGACACTCCTTATTCTACAAATTGTAAACAAACTAAATAAACAAACAGATTTTTTTCAGGAATTAAAAGATGTTCCAACATTTCCTGTTCGTTTTAAACGGAAATGTCGTCTTCTAGGTCTTCTTCAATTTCAATCACAAACCTTACTAAGCTATCTCTCTTCTAGTAGGGTTCGAGAGGGAGTGACAGAAGGATAGAGAGAGAGAATATCGTCAATACAACAACAGATTTCAGAATATATATATGTTTGAATGAGAACGATTCAAATACATTTCAACAACTTTCAGATAAGTCAATGTAAAACGAAAAGGATTAAATACTTCCAATTAATGGTTATTTGAAAGAACGCCAATCGGACGTTCACTGCCTTGACATTACGCGACATTAACTCACTCACATAAGAGGTCACGTTTTATCCTCAGACGCTCATATGAGGAAGTAAAAGGGTTTCTGCTCAAGCTATTGCATAGAGATGCCATTGGTCAATCATGGTGGACAGTTAACAAAAGAGTTCATTGAAAGGGGTTTTTTCTTCAACCTCTCTCTTTCTCTCTCTCTCTCTCTCTTTCCCTCTCTTTCTTTCTTACTTCCTCTCTCTCTGTCTCTGTATGTCTCTATGACAGTCCATTGAACAATGAGAATAGTATAAGAGAGGAGGCGTAAGAGGTAGATAAAGACGATGACGAATAGAAGGTATCATTCCTTATATATGGTTAGTATAAAAAAATTACGGTAAGTTATGAATTTGGCAAATAAAAATGAAAAAAGGAAGAAACAACTAAATCGCTTCCATATTTCATTTCTCATAGGTGCTTTCGCAAAAAACAATTATATATGGGAAGAACAAGGCTATTCATCTGAACAAAATCGGGATGAGTCAGAATGATAGCAAAGGAAGGAAGGAAGAGAGAAGGGGGGGGGGAGGGAGTGGATGGCTGATTGTGAACAACGTTGAGACTTGTTTAAGATTTTGAATAGTTAAAACATTTTTTTTCTCAAAGCATTTCATAGTTAACATAAATGGGAATGAAAAGTTTCCAAAAACTGTCTGTCAGTCTGGTAACTAGCAGTAGGATGGCTGCTTGAATTGCAAAATGAAGTTTGTGAAGAATACAACAAAAAATAAATTTATTTGAAATATGCCGTTGATATCAAAGAAAACCTGTTGGACCGTTCAAGAAAAAGAGAGAAAGCTCTACTTAACACGACAGAAATTTCGGGTCAACAGAGCCGAGAATTCTCAATCTTTCCTTTCTTCTTCTTCTCTCTCTCTCTCACTCTTCCTCTCTCTCTCTCTTTCTATTTTCTCTCACAACTTTTTTCCGTTCAAAGAATGTGATTTTCAAGATAATAGCCATTAATGGACAAGGTTTGGTCTTCAAATATTATTTTTGAAACGAAAAAACGAGAGAAGGCAGGTCACTTTGAGTTAAAATAAGAAACTGTCTGAGGGATAGAAGACTGTAGACTCTTAAGCTTCAACTGTATTAACGAACAGCAACATAGAGCACAAGAAAGAAAAAAAGAATTCTCGTTATAGCAACTTCAGCTGGCAAATAAACAGACAAGTTGTGTGTTAAGAGGCAAAAGCCTAAGGTTATGTATATCTTAGCCAGACAGGTGAAATGTCAACTTCGACTTATCCAGCTTCACGCGTCAACTCGACGTCATGGCAGAAGCTGGCCGCTAGTCAATGAAACTAGATTATAATATTATAAAATATATAATATTTAAGAGAAAAAAAAAGAATTTGTTAAAATGAAAGGTCAAATGTCAAGAGAGAGAGAGAGAGAGAGAAGAGGTAACAACGTGAACAAAATGAACGTTCAATGCACACAAACTCCTACGAATCGTTCAAAGATCTTCTTAAGAAAATAGTTGTTAACAATTGAGAAAATGCTATCTAAAGTTGGTCACTAATTGAAGAGAAAACAGGTTCAAAATTGGCAAAATGAGAATGAAAGAAATACTTATTTCCGAAACAATAAGCATCATATATGAAGTTGGATGGAAGAAAGGACAGTCAAATGAAACCGATTAACAGATATAGGAGAGAACATGCTAGATGGAGGGAGGACGGATATTCTCTCGTAAATCAAAATGTTGCGCACAAAAGCGATTTTCAATCGTTTCTTATATAGTCTTTTAAACTTTTATTTAAAATTATTACTTTTCTAATCTTCATTTTCATCAAAAACAAAGAAAGGAGGGTGATTGTGGAATATAGAGAGATAGAGAGAGATAGAGAGAGAGATAGAGAGAAAGAGAGGAAAAAGGAGGGAAGGTGGATTGAGAGTCAACTAGGTACAAGCTCACGTGCTAATGAATCGTTTATCAAAATTATTGTCTTCGATGAAAAAGCATTAATCCGGCATCATTCATGTGAGGAAAGAGAGAGGGAGCGAGAGAGGGAGAGAGAGAGAGAGAGAAGAAGCATCATATGAAACATGCATATCAATTTAATTGTAGATTCAAAGGTAAATAATGATTGTATATTGATTAGAAATACGATGCTAATGAGTAATTGCTACCTGATGCAATGAAGCATTCATGCAACAAGCCGCTTTCTCATTATCATTTACAAAAACTACAACATAACAGAGCGGTTGTATCTTTGACAGCTAAACAGGTCAGCTGATTTTTCGTTTAAACGCAACTTTTTTTTTCTTTTCTTTTCTCAGGTCATTTTCATTCCCTTTCAAGTTCATAAGTGGTTTTTTTTCCTTTTTCCCTATATGATATTGCAAACGATAGAAAGATCAAACAACACCCGTTATCAAGTTGTTTGCTAGATATGCAAAAGCTTGACACCTCTTAACTTCATTACGAAGGTTTTACAGATAAGCTTAATGAAATTTAATTCGCATAAAATTTGCAATCATTTCATTCAAACTGAAAGCATTCAAAAGAAATTCAATTTTGAGAATGAAGTTCATGAATGCTGTCTCATTGAGATTAACGGTAGCATTGTCTCGACCATCTTCATAACCACTTCTACGATCTCATTGAAATAAGCTCATCTGTCTGAGGAGCGACCTAAGGAGAAGAAAAAAAAATGAGAAGAAAGAAAGAGTTATAAAGCAACTTCTTCTTCATGTATCGATGACTAAGAGCTTCTAAGACTGCCATACAACATAGATGAACACAGTACACTAGAATTAAGCAATGACTCACTGGCTTTCGTACACGCCTTATACTCAAATAT